GTAGCCTGTCTTTCCATTGTTTTTACTCGTCTATGTCTGTTCAGAGGTTGTGAAAACTGCAGAAAAGTTTAATTTCGTTTTTCCAGGTGCTGCATATTCTGTTTGAGTCATATTTTTCAGCACACTTCAGTTTTCTTTTAGTCTCCACGATGTTTTCTGAACTTTTCTATCAAATTAATTGTGAACTGCCAAATAAGGCCTGGACTTACAACTACAATATTTTGGTTTTCGTTGTCCTCTGGCTCTGGGTCAGACTCTGGCTCCACCATGTAAGGCTGGTTGGACACGTTTTCAAGTGTTGACATCTTTTATTTAATTTGTAAATAAAAAGTTTCTGCACTGCTAGGTTGTCACAAACCCCTTCATCAAGTTAGAGTGGACCGGTCTGGAAGCTGGAGGGGCTCAGGTTAAAGGGACAGAATAAAAAGATGAGACTCACCTCAGAAAACTGTTGAAAGAGGGGCTTGTGGAGCTACAGTAAGGATTCAGACCAAAGGCAGTTCCACTTCATGTAGACTTCAACTGAATGATTTAAATGTGAAAAAGAAGGCTTTAAAATCATGATGTGTCTCTTTTAAATATCCTGATCCTGAGCTTTTGTGGGTATTAGTCATACCTTTTCTGGTGGATTAAATAATCCTCAGAGTTTTGTGTATTTTGGTTTGTTCAGTTTTCTTTCTGCCCCTCTGTTTCCTGACGTTATCCTGAGTTTCTGCTCATTACTCACCTGTCCTGCATTTGTAATCAGCCCAGCTGCACTCACTCAGTGATCATCTCCCAGCACACTCATAAGTACACTCCTGCCTCTTTCTGTTTGCTCACTGGTTTTATTTTTTAATCCTGTGGTCTCTGTTTGATAGATCACTTGTTTCTCATCCTCATGACTTAAATATATATTTAAGTCACTGATGATGAAGAAACCAAGAAATTAATATCCAGTTCTGCTTTCTACTGAAGTGGCCAAAAAAAAGTAAAAATTCATCATTTAGAACAACTTAAAAATAGGATTTTAGTTTCAATGAGTTATTTTGATTTGGAAGACAGATCAAGTCATACATCAGGAACTGCTCATTGTATCAGGATGATCCAAATGTAGCTTAAAAAGCAGGAATTTGAAAATGTGCTGAGGTCATTTTGACCAAATTTGACTGTGATAGCTCCCATTTAGAAAGGACTAGAGATGGTTCTCATGTTTTACAATCATGATCAGAGAATTTCTCATGAGCAAAGAAAAGTGTTCCATCAAAAGAAAAATGATCCATAGTGCACACAGAGGCACAACAAAATCTGCCTTTTGAGTAAAACTTGGAGWAAATTTATTATGAAGAATCTAGATCTAACAACAAATTAACTAAAAGAGTTGATGAAGCAGTAAAGGTTTACAACAGAAGAACCTGAGGGATGAGAAACAAGTGATCTATCAAACAGAGACCACAGGATTAAAAAATAAAACCAGTGAGCAAACAGAAAGAGGCAGGAGTGTACATATGAGTGTGCTGGGAGATGATCACTGAGTGAGTGCAGCTGGGCTGATTAAAATGCAGGACAGGTGAGTAATGGGCAGAAACTCAGGATAATGTCAGGAAACAGAGGGGCAGAAAGAAAACTGAACAAACCAAAATACACACAAAACTCTGAGGATTATTTAAAGGTATCATATCATGCTTTTAAATCCTTCTTTTTTACATTTAAATCATTCACTTATGGCCTATTTAAAATAAAACTGCAACTCTTTGGTCTTAATTCCTAGTTTTTGTTGCTCCACAGACTCCTTGCCTTCCTTGCTTTACCCCTGTTCTGAGTTGCACTTCAGAGCAAGCTGTTTTGGTGCGGTCTCTTTAAATACAAATGAGATATTTCATATACACATTTATTATCATATTTACATATGTATATAC